CAGCCTCTCGGATAATCTGCTCTGCATACATGTTGAAAAGGTATGGAGACAGAATATGTTGATAATTTCCACACTCAGTCACTTCACCTTTCTTTGGAATGGAAACAAATATAGCTCTCTTCCAGTCAGCTGGCTAGGTGGTTGTCCTCCAGATTTCTTGGCACAACTTGGTGAACACATCTAGGGTGGCATCTGTTTGTTGAAATATGTCAATTGGTATACCATCAATTCCTGGGACCTTGTTTTTTGCCAATTCTTTCAGAGCAGCTTGAACTCCTTCTTTCATCACTACAGGCTCTTGCTAATAGATTGCTTCATGAAATTATTCCATGTGGTCAATATCATCTAACCTAAAAAGGAATCTTAAGGATTTTAAGGACTATGAGAATAATATAATAATGCAATTTCCTTTCATTTCATTCAACTCATGTATTGAGTGCCTAAACAAAAAATGAATACAAATATCCTAAGGTTTGAATTCTTCCTAAGGTGGAGGACTCTTGGAAAACAACGGAATTTGTCATTCTGCCTCACCGTGACTCCAAAGATGTATTTATCCTGGGTGGCACAGATGACATACAGGTGGGTAACTGGGTTTTGGAAAATGGTAAATGGTCTGTCTAGATCTAATCCCAATATTCTGTGAAAGATCCCGGTGGTATAACAAACTATGAGCATCACAAAATAGAAAACCTAAATGAGAAGGCAAAATATGAATATGATATAATTAATAATAATTACTGAATTCAGCAATTGAATGAAATATTTAGCAAAACAATTAAAAATGGTATATGTGTATAAGACCTGTGATTCTTTAGTTTATTAACTGTTAAGGAATTTAGAAAAACATGAAATGATCAAAGAATCCTTCTTCAACCAGTCAAGATAAGTTGGACCTAAAGGACTGGGTGGGATTTGGTTGACTTAGAAGAATGCAGACATTTCAAAGCATGTAAATGAGGCAACAAGCTCCCAGGGGGCATAGTCCATAGGGGGTTGTGCTTCTCCTAAAGGAGTCACCTCTCTGGTGGTTCAAAGCCACCAGGAGCTCTGCAAGAGAAAGATGGGCAAGCTCCTCCTGTGGATCAGCCTGGGAAACCTCCTAGAGCGTCAGTTGCGAGTCTCTTCCAACTTGACAGCAATAAGAAAGAGAGTTTGAAGAAGGTAAATTAACATTAATAATTCTGAAATTACAAGTAGATGACATTAATCTGTGGACCACAGAGGAAGATAATTTAATCCACACTCTTGGAATATATTTAGTGACTTGAAAAATCTAAAAGCCTATTTACTTAGTTGTGGAAAGTCTTATTTTTGTTATGTGCCATTGTTTTGCCTGCAACTCATAGCCACTCTGTGCACAATAGCTCTGAACCTTGTCCTGTCCTGAGCCATTTTTACTATCTTCAACACACCTATCCCCATTACCCCAGGTACTGTGTCAATCCTTCTCTTCCAGGGCCTTCCCTTCTTGCACTGTCCCTCCATCCTTCTAAGCACGATGTCCTTCTCCAAGACTAGTTAGATACCAAAGTCTGGACCTCGTAGGATGTACTCTGAACAAATTGTAAATGATATGGATGTGCAAGGGTAGATTGGAAGAATGAACAGCCTAGACAATAGGTGGGAGAGCAGACCGAAAGTGAAGGCCAGTTAATATGAGGTCAGCTGATGCTGTACCATGGAATCTCTGCTCTTAAAAAAGCTTGTGATTTTAAAACAGCAGATAAAATCCTGTAGGTTAACTGACACTTTAGAAAAAAAGAATCATGTTTTATGAAAGTTGCTATGGTATAGGGGGCAATGGAAGTAAAGTTAGGAAAGTCTTTAGATCTTCAGAGCTTGACCTGAGTTAGTTTATTTTACCTTCCCCCCCCCCCCCATAAACTAGTTAAAGAAAAGGAATATTTCACTGAATGGAAGATAGCTGGTTTGGGGGTAATTGGAGAAGTGATGACAGGGTTACTAAATGATACAAGGAAGTTACCAGCTATTAATAGTGAGGAAGAGAGGAGAGGGATGCAGAACAAAACAAGAATTTGAGTCTTTAGTAATGACAGGAGTAGCAAAGGTTTGGTGACTCGAAGTTTCTTGGTGATGTCAGACAGTATCATGGTGGCTTGTAAGCCACAGAGGAGGAGATAAGGAGAGGGAGTGACTTGAAAAATAGCAAGTAGTGGATGGGTCTAAGCTATTAACTAAAAAACCTGTCTAACTTGGGAGAAACAGGAAAGTATTACGCTAAGTGAATTAACTCAGTCCCATAAGGACAAATACTAAGACCATTATTGTAGAACATGTACGAGGATCCAAGAGGGGTTGGGGGGAGCAGAGGGTGAGGATGGGGGGTAGGGCTTAATCATAAGGTCACACAATTTGATGAGTGGAGGGAGGGGTGGGTAAAGGAATGGGGAAAGATCCAGTGTGCAAAACAGTGTGTACAAACTTCGTGAGTAAACCAGCATAAAACAAAAATTTTATTTAAAAAAACCTGACAAAACAAAGCAAACAAACAAGCAAACAAGTTCTCTTTTTGTGGACTCTTGAGACTATGTATCTCTAGTTATAAACCCAAGCATAAACATGGTATTTTTTTCCTTCTCCCTCTTTAAAGGTCCTTCTGGATGACAGCACCATCAACATTGCGACCATTGCCTCATCACGTTATGTCGGTCCACTGAAAACGCGAGTGGATGAGTGGCAGAAACAACTTACTTTATTTAATCAAACACTGGTCAGTAAGTATAATTATAATCCAGCCATTTAGAGAGTTGAAAGACTTTTAGAAAACAGTTGTTTCATCATTTAAATGTTGTCTAATTTAGATTTAATTGCTGACATATTTAATGGCATATTGGTAGCAAGTTGCACTGCAAGCCCAAAGGCTTTGCACCTTCAGCTGTTAATGTCTCCACTGGTCTGCAGGATAAAGATGAGTAGCACCGTCCAGTGTGATTTGTAGCCTCAGAAACCCAATGGCAGGTCCTTGTGAGTTGGAACCTACTCAAAGGCAAGGCATGTGTGAGTGAAAAGTAAGGAAAATGGCCATAAAAAAGAGCTTTTTTAATATGATTGTAGAGTTTGATGTCATTAACATTATGTTACTTAGCTAATGCTAATTACCATGAATTTAGTGGCTTAAGACACTATTTACTGTCGCCCAATTTCTGTGTTTGGGAGCTGGGACCTGGTTTACCTCAGTCCTCTGCTTGGGTCCTACAAAGTTGCAATCACGGTGCCAGCCATGACTGGTTTCTCATACAAAGCTCAATTGGGAAAAGATGCTTTCAAGCTATTCAGGACGTTGAGAGAATTCATTTCCTTCCAGCTATAGGACTAATGTCTACAATTTCTTGCTGCTATTAACCAGAGTTGCTCACCATGTGGGTTTTTCATCATGACTACTTGTTTCATCAAGCCAAAGAGGAGAGTCTCATAATAAGATGGATGGAATAGCTTTATGAAACATAACCACATGCATGTAACACACTCATCCAAGAACCTTTACTATGTTCTCATGGCTACAGACAAGCCACAAGGGGTACCAGCACTCAAGGTGGAAAACTGTAAGGGCATGATCACTAGATCTCGGAGCCTACTCTGAAAGTCTTGTCCCTGCAGCATTCAGTCTACACTCCCAATTGCTTGAATTCTCCTTGGCATTCTTACTTGTAGTACACGTTGTTGGTCCTGTTAGGTCCATCAACTTGACAATGGCTCATAGTTACCCTATGAACATCAAGAACCTTAGCCTGTATGCTCAAGTCCATTGTTAACACTCACTGTATCAGTCCAGCTCATTTGAGGGGCTTTCTCTCTTTGACTCACACTCTGCTTTTCAAAACATAATGCCTTTTTTCCCCCCGAGAACTACCCCCTCCTGACAGTTTGCCAAAGTATACAAGACAAAGTTTCACCATCCTTGCCTATAAGCAGCACCTTGGTTGTACTTCCTCTAAGACAGATTTATTTGTTATTTTGGCAATTCATGGTTTATTCAGTACTCTTTTTCAATGCCACAATTCAAAGGCATCAGTTCTTCTTTGGTCTTCCTTATTAATTATCAAACTTTTGGATGTATATGAAGCAATTGACAATATCTAGGCTTGTATCATACCCACAATATATCTTTATCCCTAGCAAAAGATGTTCCCAATTGCATGTCTTTTGATTTCTTGATTGCTGCTAACTTGGGTGCTGATTGTGAATCCAGTAAAATGAAATGGTTGATAACTTCATCCTGTTCTCCATCTATTTATGATGTTGCCTATTGATCCAGGGGTGAGGATCTTTGTTTTCTTGAAAGTAAGATGTAATGCATACTGAAGGCAGTAGGTTTTTATCTTCTGCAGTAAGTGCTTCAAGCCTTCTTCATTTTCTGCAAGCAAGACTGTATTTATCATCAGTATAACACAGGTTGTTAAGTCTTCCTTTAACCCTAGTATCACCCAAGCCTTCTTCATACAATGTAGCTTCTTGAATGATTTGCTCATCGTACAGATTGAGTAGATACACAGTAAAGATAAACCCTGGTGCATAAATCTCCTGTTTTTTATTTTTATTTATTTATTATTTTTTTATTGGGAAAAACATATTGGGGGTACAAGGAGGTGAGGGTTGGGGGCAGAAGGGTGAGGATGGGCCAGGATGCAGTTGCAGAGCTGCA